ACTGAGTGGTCTGTGCCTTTTACAAATATGTGTACTGCACATAAAGTTGTAACACAGCATGACATTCTCCTCTCTATTAAATGTCTCCAGGATTTGCCTGCAGCCATTCAGCTTCTGAAAGTTGTCTCATGAGGCAGTCTTCATAAATCTACATGAGTGACTTCATCCATGCCTTCTGTTGTGTGATTGTAGGGCATCTACTGATGTTAAACAACACTTTAGTAAGCACATTTATTGGCAGTATAACAGTTTGTCACTTTAAAGTTACATTTTATTGTGTTATAATTGTGTGTGACCCAGTACCACAGTGGTCTTATCAGATTCACAGTATTTTGGTATCTTCATATTACGGGAACATTTAGGCCTCATGCACACTGATGCTTTTTTATTTTTTTTAACTCCCCTAGAAGCTTCCTCCTGGCAGCAGAATTTTGGCTAAATAAATGATACTTGTAAAAGTGTGTACTACGTTTGGGTATTAAATAATATCTTATGGACATACAGGATCAGTTCGAGAGTGCACATGCACGAGTGCCCCCAGGAGCGACAGCGCGGGACCCAAGAATAGAAGGATTGGGGCTGCTCTGTGCAAAACCACTGCACAAAGCCGATAAGTATAACAAAATAGCATGAAAAGGTGTAATATAAAAAGAAAACAAGATTTACAACTTTAATTATTGCTGTTTTCTTGCCTCACTACTCTGGTTAAACAGAGAGGCTAACCGAATTTTCCAATTATATATAGATCAATTTTGTGAGTCATAAATTGAGTCACAATACCTATTCTTTGGCTAGAGGGAATACCATCTGTCTGTTTTGAATGGAAATTTGTCACTACTTTCTTTTTTGCTTTCTGACATTTACATTCTTATCATTCTTCAGTATTTCAGTTTTTTTCTTTGAGTCTGCTTTTTAGATGTGAACACAGTATGGGAGGGCTAATCCAAAGATGGCCATCACTTTAAGGGATCAATTCATAGAGGTGTGCAAAAACATCATAAAGGTGACCTTCTTATCCCTGAGATGTTAGTGGATGTTTATGCTTGAATACCTCCATACCTCAGTGAACTCATGATATTTATCTCCTGGAGTGAGAAGTAGAAGTAATTAACACTTTGGGAATATCTCACCAAAAATTAAATTTTTGTTGCAGAGGATGCCCAAAAACCTGACTTGTATCCTAGTGCACACTTCTGGGAAAATCAGTGAACCAATCACACAAGCAGAAAATGGCATTTCTGGGCAAGGGGTTCAGTAAACCATCTGTCTATAGAACACCATCAGGTTGCCATATTTGTAACTGGTAAAGGTAATTTTTAATAACATTCAATCAGAATATCATTTGCGTAGCAATTGTATATGCAATTTTTCTCTTTTTTTTTAATTTGAAAATTTTTCCCATGAAAGTGGTGTTACCTTTTAAAGTGGAAGGAAACTTGTTTAACCCGTACCTACAAGTAAGCCTATAGGTTCAATTCAATCTACAGGTAAGCCTGTAGGTTCAGTGAATATCTCCTAAACGTGCACGGCTTAGGAGATATTCACACAGCATGTAGTCGGTGATGTCACCTACGTATGCACTCTGAAGGGATGGCATAGCCGTGCCGTACCTTCAGAGCTTCATGTCGGGACTCCTGCACACATGCGTGGGAGTGACATCATTGAGGCGCTGGCTATTCATACAGCTAAAGTCTGCAAACTTGGAAGTAAGACCGGGTGCAGATGGATGCGCTCGTGAGCCATGAAAGTGCTGCACTGAAGGGCTTCGTGTCCATGTAAGTCTGTCATAATGTGCTAGTATGCGGTGCATACTAGTACATTACTATTTAAACTTGCAGGGGCCTGATTTTTTTTCTTCTTTGGTGGCGGTTTACTACTTCTTGAAAGTGTATGTAAAAGGAATGCAACATGGTAAGTGCATCGCTCCTCAATGTAATAAAACTTGCTCAATGTGGTACTGTGCAAAACATCACACAAAATGGATCACCATTTGTCTGCCAGATAGTCAGTTCAAAGTACTTCTAGTCCTATTAATACCAATATTCAATCCACACCATACAACAAAAACATTAGGGTTACATAGAGTGATGTGCTGGCACATCTCCAATGTTAAAACAACATAATTTGCTCCCATGGGACTTTAACACAGCAAAAAGACATTTTTCCTAAATTAAACATATTTTATTTATACAAAAGGTTAAAAAGAGAATATATTTTAAAAAAAAAACTCAAGTGCTCTGGTGTGAACTACACAGTGATACATATTTCTGCACTACAATACCCCTGTACCTTCTGACAGGGTAATTCATTCAATTTTATATTTCAACATAATTTCTTCAAACAGTATGCCCTAGCGGAGAATCTCCAACATGCTTCAGTTGGTTTTCACAATCTACATCAGGGGGCAAAGAAGTTATCTAAGTTTAAAAAGAAATTACATGATGGCGAATAAAAAAAACACTACATTGTATACAAGAAACATGCTTTTTAAAGACACAACCACTTGCATCTTCAATCCATCGCCATCGACCCTAAACCAGAGCCTTTTAAAATGGATGCCATTAAACTGGTCTACTCTCATCGTAAAAGGTCTATAGTGCCCATCCAAAGGGCACACAAGGGACCACAGGGACTATTCGTGGTTGGACCTTTTTTTGGCGAGCATAGGCCCAGGGTATCAGCATACATTTTAATAGGCTCTGTTTTAGGGATGATAGAAGTAGTGCAAGAGCAGTAGCCATGGTAGCAGACAGGAAGCTGCGGCCCGACACGTCACGGTTATAGTCTCAAACTTTACTAGAAAATGCCATAAATTACAATGCAGTTAATGTACACAGGACATATACTTAGTATGTGACTACATCTTACATTGTTAGCTACAACCTCATTTACCAGCAAAAAAGACTGTTCCCTATTGCACATTGGGGAGGTACCCTTGTTGTTACCCTAGCCAAATAAATCATCTTCTTGGCCATTCCTAAGTTTCCCTGGTTTCTGTCCGATTATGCAATAATAAAGGATTGGTAATTTTCATATATGAGTGGGTAGAGCTCTTTGAGGACACTGTGCAAGCATGTGTCTCTATTGCCAGGTGGTGAGTGTCAGATAAATGCGGAGATTATGCTGGAAAAGCTGTGGCCTGGCAGCAGGCTCTGAACTGGGGATTGAGAACTATTGCTGTGGATAAAAGGAAAAAACAATGTCACTCTGCAATGATAATTTATTTAGGCTGATCCAAACTTGGACCAAATGTATCTCAATGTAAAAATGCACTTTGTTAAATTATCCATTGCATTCTTACACCTGTACCCTGTCACACATGATGTATTTGTAGGATGAATTTGCTAACTCTGCATTCCCAACTGAAGTGCACAGCTAAACTGCAGGCTTCTACTGTTACAGCAGTCTAAAGTGGGACATTTCCATATACAAGCAGCTGACATCAAACCCTGTGGCCTTCCTCTATTAATGTGCCAATTGATATCTGCTAACAATATCTTTTTACCTGGTGTGCCATGATTAAATTATAGCTGAACATCCCTTACAAAATGCAGAATTGCCAAGATTAGTGAAAGCCACTGTAACAGTATAGCAGAGTCTGGATATGTGGTTTAAAAAATAGTTTTTGACCTGCTTTCTATTGTTTATAGATTTCGTTTCAGGCAGCAGATCTAAACCCAGTGAACTATAAGTTATAACTAAACAATGGGGTCATTCAGCTATGTAACAATTCCACTTCTGTCACCGGTTTACTCGGGTTATCATGTTTCATTAATTAGAAACAGAAGGTAACAAGTGAATACAATTAGATTATAATAGATCTAAGAGTAGGAAGCATCTCATGGAGAACATCTGTGGAGGATTATACATGTAGCAGCCATTCGGGCAGACTACATGACTGTCATGGTTGAGATAATCAGCAGTTTAGACAGTCGGTAATAACCTTTGCTGGATTAGCTATTCACTGTTAAATCTTCGAGATGCATTGATTTTAATAAACTGGAATTTTTTTAGGGGTTTTTAAAAAATAAACAGAAACAGGCTAAGTATAATTGCTCTCTCTACCTTGATGAGACCTTTTCATCTGAGTTAAAGCATTTTAAAGTTGATCACCCAGCTAATTGTAAAATCCAAAGGATTTGTGATACAAGGGGGGTGGGGGGTTTGGGGGGGGGGGGGGGGGTAACTGCTTTCTGTATTAGAGTTAAAGCACAACTTTGGCCTTGAGAGCCCACCTCACCCCAGTTTGCTACCATTTAAATACTCTCAGCGATTGTAGTGGGCTGGTCCTGAATGATGCAGAGAAGTGCACCAAGTAATGATGTGTCACCACTCTGCAGCATTCCCCTGTCAGTCCATGGTGAGTGGGAGAAGCCTTCACATTCTAGTATAGGGGTTTTAATGATGACATTTATCTTAGAAGACACTAGATCAGTGATTGGGTGAGTCTGCAATGGATAGAGCTAAAGATCAGGTGAGTATAGCTGCTCCAGGGGCTGAATTCGTACAATTTATACCCAAGCTGGTGTAACACCCTCCTAGATAAGGGTAGGATTTGCATATTATGTATTTTCTATAGCTGTGTTTCTCTGCTTAACAGAGAGACTGTAGGGAAATATATTTGGACTCTTTGCTTAACCTCTTGCCGACCGCGCATAGCCGAATGACGGCTTCACCGCGGCCGGCCAGTTCTGAGTGGACGTCATATGACGTCCTCCCAGAACGCGCTCTCCCGCGCGCCCCAGGGGGCGCGCACCCGGCGATCTCCGTGATCGCTGTGTCCTACGGACACAGCTGATCACGTGATGTGGTGAAAGGCCGATCCCACCGGCCTTTTACCACGTGATCAGCAGTGTCCAATGACACGCTGATCACAGGGAAAGGCAAGTGCCGGTTCTCGGCTGCACTTTCCTCACGCTGTCAGATCGTGAGGAAAGTACTGCCGAGAACCGGCAGTTGTCAGAGCGGGGATCGGCACCAATCATCAGGGCACTGATGATCAGTGCCCTGATGATCGGTGCCCAGCAGTGACACCCGCAAGTTCCGCCCAGCAGTGCGCCCACTAGCCCCGCCCACCCGTTCCCAGCAGTGCCCCCACCTGTGCCCAGCAGTGCCCCCACCTGTGCCCAGCAGTGCACCCACCTGTGCCACTCTGCAGTGCCACCTACCTGTGCCCAGAAGTGCCACCTACATGTGCCCAGCAGTGCCACCCACCTGTGCCCACCCACCTGTGCCCACCAGTGCCACCCACCTGTGCCCACCAGTGCCACCCACCTGTGCCCACCAGTGCCACCCACCTGTGCCCACCCACCAGTGCTGCCCACCAGTGCCACCCACCAGTGCAGCCCAGCAGTGCTGCCAGTCAGTGCCACCAGTCAGTGCTCAGGGGTTGTGCCAGTCAGTGCCGCCAGTCAGTGCCCAGAAGTGATGCCAGTCAGTGCCGTTTATCAGTACCCATCATCAGTGTCACCTATCAGTGCCGCCTATCAGTGCTGCATATCAGTGCCGCCTATCCGTGACCCCTAATTAGTGCTGTCTATCAGTGCCGCCTATCCGTGTGCACCTCATTAGTACTGCCTATCAGTGCCCTTTAGTGCTGCCTATCAGTGCCCATCAGTGCCGCCTATCAGTGCCCATCAGTGCCGCCTCATCAACGCAAATCAGTGAAGGAGAAAAAATACCTGTTTGAAAAATTTTATAAAAGAAACAAATAAACTTTTTTTTTTTTTTTTCAAATTTTTTGCACATTTTTTAATTTATAGCGCAAAAAGTAAAGCGCCCAGTGGCGATTAAATACCACCAAAAGAAAGCTCTATTTGTGAGAAAAAAATGATCAAAATTTCATATGGGTACAATGTTGCATGACCGCGCAATTGTCAATCAAAGTGCGGCAGCGCTGAAAGCTGAAAATTGGCCTGGTAAGGAAGGGGGTATAAGTGCCTGGTAGGCAAGTGGTTAACAGAGTGTTGTGATTGATTAGTCAGGTCTGCTCATGATGCTCTGGTGCTTGAGTTTGTCTTGATTTCTGCCCGCCTTCAGGAAGCTATAAGAGCCTTTCAGAACCTGGGAGGGAACTAGGCAAGTGGCAAATGATCAGCATGAATATTGATACAACCCTGGCCAAGGGAGGACAGTCCCGTTGCATGCTGGGAGTGGTATTTATATTCTGTTAGCACATGGGTTCGGGGTGTTTCCCGAGAGAAGACTGAACCAAGCCAGGCTGGAGTCAGGTTTGCCTCGCCTGGCACTGGCTGCCATGTGGCCTCAGGTGGGTCAGCCTGAGAGGCTCAAGCTAGAGAGAGTGACCCTGGTTCTACAGTAAGCTCACTGAGGGGGGCTATCTGCCAAAGCTTTGTATGGTATCACTGGAGGGTTTCGCTTGGAAGATTGGAAGGAGGCAACCATTCTGTCCTTGGGCCATGTGAGTACAGACATTGAGGAATTTGGGGACTCTGCTTGATAGTCAGCGTGGGTCTGAGAAGGAAAGGGAACATTGGCTAGTGTTCTGAAGAGCTTGTCCAATTGTTGAAACTTCAAAGGACTTTGCTCGGCTACATTACCTTTGGGCTATCACAGTCTGTTGTAACTGACTTGTACCTGAGGAGCTCAGCCCTTTAACTACAACTACTACTGTAAAAAGGGACTTTGCTCACTTCCAAACTACTTGCTGTTACAAATTATAGGGAATTCTGCTATCTGCTTCAGCCAAAACTTCAAAGTGCTCAACTAAGAAATCAGCTAGATATCCTTAGTGTGAATAATTCTAATTTTGGAGTATCCTACTACATTCCCCATCCCTATCCCCAGTTCTACAATAAAACTCCAAAAATAAACATCCCCTAGACTGGTCATTGAAGACAATGAGCGAAGAGTGCGTGTACCTGGCTGTGAAAAATGCTTTGTGTCTGACTGCGGGGTGAAGAAAGGGGGAAACGGGCAAAAATACAAGCGGCCCTTACGAGGGTGGCACTACACTGGATTTAAGCTTTAAAATGTATGTTACCCCAACATTTCATATTCCCGATATGTGCCTGTTTTACCATGTACTTGTATGAAAAAGTATCCTGTTTTCTTTGCATTTCTTTTTTTTTTGTGTGATATACATTTTGACAAACATGAAAAGAAGGTGAGAAAGGGAAGCACCTTTTAAATGCAGTATGAAGGTTACAATTTATTAAACCACAGTTAAAAACACTCAGAGGATGGAAGAATAAAAACCGCTCATCAAGATGTATTGAGAAGATGGACCAGAGTGTACCACCATTCATCCACGTCCACCAGAGGATCTGCTGATCGATGTGTCTGACAGCTGTAGATGGAGAGGATGCTTGCAGCGAAACTGGAAGTTCCAGGAACCAGCTTGGAATGCACTTATGGGTTGATGTGACTTCACAGAAGGAAGAGGAGCTCGGTACAAGCAAGACAGGCTATGCACTTGGAGCAAACTGCTCCTCCTGAATACATGTAATCATTTTTAAAGCAATACAAAATTGCGGTACATTATATTGTCATATCTTCCTGAAGATCACCTTTAATACATGGTGTCTAAGGCACAATACATAGGTAAAACTTTGTAATTCTCTGGTAGCTTTTTTCCCTGGTGATGTATATACTGTGTGCAAGCTTCTTACAGGAGCATGCATCATGCCAAAGCCAATAGGAGTGCACTCATTTGTTAGATTGGATGTGCTCACCATGTATCCGGGTTCCACTTTGCTGCACAGAAAGGTTTTGGAAACTATCCTGAGCCAACAGACATTTTCCATATTACCAAGAGCATATTTTTGTTGTGTGTTTTAACATAGAACATTAGGCACAATATAGCCTATTTCTGCAGGACAAATGTACTATGTTGCTGGGTTTTTTTCTCTGATTTTACAGTATACTTCTTGGTTAAAAAATAAAGAATTCCCTATCACTTTTGTTTTGTTACTATTGTATTATCACTATACAATCCTAATCACTTTCATGATTCACCATGGATTTCAGCTGATTTATGATGATAATCAATGAACTGCTTTAAATACCAAATGTGGGCTTTTTTTCTGTTCATGATCTGTCCCAATCCATTATTTTTAGAGATACCTCGCCAGCAAACTTGTATCTCACAGGTCCCCTGCTCCATCATAAATGTATCATCAGAGGCCCCAGGTTCCCTGGAGAGGAAAGTAATTCCAGGATCTCTAGAGCTACACTCAGGAAGGGAGAGCAATTCAGGTGTTTGCAAGGATATTTCTCCATCCTGAAAGTAGCATCTGGGATCCTAGTGCTTTGAGAAAGGAAGATTTTAGCGCAGACAGAAGAGAGTAGTGGGGACCAATCGCAGTGTCTGCAAGGGGAAAGTAGCGCTACTTGCATCTTATAGGAAAGGCTGAAAGAAAGGTGTGCCCCTGTGTGAGAAAAGGGGTTAGTAATGCAATAGGGTGCAAATCTGTTTTACTGTAGAATGTATGCTCGTAGTAGCAGGGAATTCCATTGCTGTGGCTAAAAGGGTGATCCCTCCGATTCATGATCAGCAGTAAAAAAAAAAAAATATAAATATAATATATATATATATATATATATATATATTTATATAAATATCTAGTGCTGTCGCGCTTAGGAATAGATATTCATGCAACTTTGATATGTATACGCTGCAGTCCTAATTTGTGAACAAATAGAACAAAAACAAACAAAATACCATGTGGACTGCGCATAAATTAAGTGCATTAAATTTGACTATACAGAAGTAATAATGCGTCACATATACAAAGTGAATAATTGTAACATTGTCCCAATTCGGAAAAAAAAGTGCCCAAGTGTTGAATACTAATTGGTGAACTTTGTGCAGTAAATGACAGGTGCTCCTCTGTTCTAAATCAGTGCCCACATGAATGTGCACTCACCGTTAGCCGTGGAACACCTATCTCTAGGTTGGTCCCTAGGTTTGGGACTAGCCCAATGCATGATGGCAAGAATTTCACCAATATTCATTCCTGGGAATCATGCGATCTGGCTGACAGTAACCAATAGGATGATGACCAGCGTGGATATAAATGACAGTGTAGTTTCAAAAGAGCCTTTTTAAACTTTCTCCTCTCCTCCCAGGCAGTAAAACCAAGTTTCAGCATGTGAACAGAAACAAAAGCAAACATCCCATAGTGTACAATCATAAAAAACTTTAATGATGGGGAGAAATTATAAGAATAAATCTGACAAGCAAAGTGCCCATAACCTGGCACTCAGTGTATTCAGCCTTGCTGCCTGTGAATAGGAACCAATATGGCGCAGTATTCCAGCGTGCGTACCAAAGGGCGGAAATTACGTCCGCAGAAGTTGTGTTCTTAAACCTCAACTGGTTTCGATCTGGACACTGGAATACTGCGGCCATCTTTGTTCCTATTCACAGGCAGCAAGGCTGAATACACTGAGTGCCAGGTTATGTACTTGGACCCTATAGAGGTTGCACAGGCAGTCCAAATCCTCCAGGATGACACATCAATACATGCCATTCCCAGAAGGTTTGTTATGTCTCCCAGCACAGTCTCCAGAACATGGAGGAGATTCCAGGCAGTTACTCTAGTAGAGCTGGACAGGGCTGTAGATGGTCCTTAACCCCATCAGCAGGACCGGTATCTGCTCATTTGTGCAAGGAGGAACAGGATGAGCACTGCCAGAGCCCTACAAAATGACCTCCAGCAGGCCACTGGTGAGAATGTCTCTGACAAAACCATCCGAAACAGACTTCATGAGGGTGGCCTGAGGGCCCAATGTCCTCTAGTGGTTCCTCTGCTCTGCCCAGCACCATAGAGCTTGATTGGCATTTGCCATTGAACACCAGAATTGGCAGGTCCGCCACTGGTTCCCTCTGCTTTTCACAGATGAGAGCAGGTCAGGTTCACCCTGAGCACATCTGACAGATGTGAAAGGATCTGGAGAAGCCGTGGAGAACATTATGGTGCCTGTAACATTGTTCAGCATGACCATTTTGGTGGTGGGTCAATGATGGTCTGGGGAGGCATATCCATTGGGGGACGCACAGACCTCTACAGGCTAGACCGGGTGTCAGCAACCCGCGGCTCCAGAGCCGCATGCGGCTCTTTTTCACCTTGGCTGCGGCTCCGGAGCACACTGCCCACCAGGTGACAGGCAATAGGGCAGCAATGGGCAAACTACGGCCCGGCGGACCTTTTAATCCGGCCCGCGGAGCTAGGCTCCCGCTAGGCTTCTCTCACAGTCCGCCCTGAAGACCGGTGTAGCATGAAAATCTGTCTCCTATGAGGATCTGTCCCCCTCGACGTATCTGCACATGTGCCGGAGATCGCCGATCGGCTGCTA